CCGCCGTGAGCCGCGGCGCGAAGGACATGTAGGGCGACTCCGGGAGGGTCTCGAAGACGTCGCGCGCGGCCTCGCGCGCGACGACGGGCGCCGTCGGCCGCCACCACTCGCGGTGCTTGACGGCGTTGAGCCGGTCCTTGGACCCCGGCCGCGACGGGTCCGCGAGGAGCGACCGGTGGCCCAGCGCCCGGGGCCCGAACTCCATCGCCCCCCGGACGACGCCGACGACCTTGCCCGCGGCGAGCAGGTCCGCGAGCGCCTCGACGCCGACGTCCTCCCGCACGTCGACGCCGCGCGCCCCGGCGCGCGCGTCGACGCCGCGCACGAGGCCCGCCCGCACGAGGTCCGCGGCGTCGTCGGCGCCGCGCGGCCCCGCGTCCGCCGACGTCGCTTCCTCCGTCGCGAAGCCGCTCACGAGGCCGGCCTCGACGAGGTCCGCCAGGTCGTCGGACGCCGCCCGGGCGGGCGCGGCCGACCCGCCCCGCGCGGCGCCGCGCCGCGCGAGCTCGGCGACGAGGCGCGGCGCGGCCGCGGCGTCGAAGAGCGGCGGGCCCGCGTACCTGTGCCGAAACCAAATCTTCAACCCGACTTCAATGTGAGCGTATTCGAATGTTTGGACACAAGTTCCGGCTGGGCTTCGAGAACTCGACGAGAGCGATCGATCCGTCCAAAAATCAGCCGAATCGACTTTGATTTGACCGAGCTAGAGAATTCTCAAGTTTGGTCAGGACCACCCAAACCAGTGGTTGGTTTCGGCACAGCGGCGTACTGGAGCCCCCTCGGCCGCTCCCGGGGCACGGCCACGTGCCAGGCCGCGCCGACGGCGAGGCCGCAGTCGTTGGGCGCCAGCGGCACGACGACGCGCGTCGCCAACCGCCGCTCGAGGTGCGAGTTCGCGAGCACGTTCAGCGCGCAGCCGCCCGACAGCGCGAGACCGTCGAACGCGTCGGAGCCGCCCGCGTCGCGGAGCAGGCCCGCGACGATGTCCCCGTTCATGGCCTCGAAGGTCCGCTGGAGCGTCGCCGCGAGGTCGCGGAAGTAGGCCGCGTCCCGCTCGCCGGGGAACAGCTTCAGCACGTCGTCCGCGACCATGTCCCGGAGCCCGCCGGCCTCCTTAAAGGCGAAGGGCGACGCCAGGCCGTTGGCCCGGAGCACGTCGAGGCCCGCCGAGTCGAGGAGGAACGTCACGGGCACGTGGCTCGACCAGTCCTCGTACAAAGCCCGCATGGCCGCGTCCCACTCGGCGCGCGGCGCGCCGAGCCCCGCCTGGGCAGGACAAGGGTGATTCAACGTCGCTTCAACGTGAGTGTTCCGCGCGCGCGCGTTACGAAAAACACATCCACGCTTCGAGGCCGTTCCGAAAGATGATCGCTCGTCCAAAAATCAGCCGAAACGAGTGGAAAACGGCCGAGATATGAGGCTTTGAAGTTGGGAATTTCGCTCTCTTGTCCTGCCCCGAGTCCCGCGTAGCCCATGGCCTTGCCCGCGTTCGAGAAGATCTTCGGCCGGCCGAGCGCCTCCGAGGCGCGCAGCCACGCGGCCGAGAAGGCCTCGAGGCCGCCCGTGACCTCGTCGAGCAATACGGCGACGAGCTCGTAGGCCATGCCGAACGACGCGGAAGGCGCCGCGAGCCGCTCGAGGAGCGGCGCGCCGGGCGGCCGCCGCGGGTCGTAGGGGCTCGACCCGCGGAAGGCGAAGACCTGCGAGTCCGACACGTAGACGAGCGGCGCATGGAGCGGCGAGTCGATGAGCGCGAGCAGCGCGTGCGCGTCGTAGTGGTTCGCGTAGCACCAGACGGCGCCGAAGGCGCTCCCGGGCCCGGCGAAGACGTCGTAGGCCACGGTCGCGTCCGACGCGGCGACGACGCGCCGGTCGCAGCACATGTGGTTCTCCGCGTAGGCCACGTAGTCGACGTCGGCCGGCTTGAGGCCCGCGCGCGCGAGCACCGCGGTCGCGTGCGCCGCGAGCGACGCGCGCAGGGCGGCCGGGTCCTGGTAGTCGGGCATGTAGTGGCGGTCGCCCGTGACGCGCTCGAGCTCCAGGACCTCGCGGACGGCGCCGTCGACCGTCAGCGCGAGGTGCGCGTCGTGGCCCAGGAACAGGCCTGGGCGGGGAAAGGGCGATTCAACGTCGCTTCGATGCGAGTGTTCCACGCGTTCCAGAGAAAGCGTCCACGCTTCGAGAACCCTCCGAGAGCTGATCACTCGTCCAAACATCAGCCGAAACGAGTGGAAAACGGCCGAGCGAGGAGCCTTTGAAGTTCCGCACCCTTTTCCCGCCCGGGAACAGGCCGAGCGCGACGCCGCCGTCCGCGTAGGGCGGCAGGGCCACCTCGAAGTCGAAGGCGATGCGCTCCTCCGCGTGGGGCTCGAGCCAGGCGGCGAAGCTGTAGCGCCCCTCGGCCATGCCCCACGTGAGCACGAGCCCGTCGACGCCTTCCGAAGGCCGGCAGTCGCGGAGCAGCTCCTCGCCGCCGGCCGCGCGCACGGCGTGGCAGTAGGCGACGCCCGGCAGGGGCGCCGCGATGCGGGGGCAGTGGTGCACGAGGCGGTCGCTCCGGAGCCACACGGAGCCCGGGAAGAGGCACTCGACGGAGAGATCGCGGAGGTCGCTGTGCGGCGCTCCGGCGCCGCCGCCGCGGCAGCTCTCCGCGAAGCCGCCCGCCGCCGCGCCGAGCCGCTTCACGACGCAGGCGCGGTCCCGCGGCGCGCAGCCCGGCTGGTGATGTTCTCGTGCTGCTGGGCCACGAAGGCCTCGAGGCCGCCGCGCGAGAAGCAGCCCTCGATCGACACGTCGATGGGCAGCGCTTCGCCGTCGAGCTCGAACTCGACGAGCGCGGCGCGCGCGAGCGCGAGGCACGAGAGCGCTGCGCGCGCCTTCATTTTAGTATGTCGGATCCACTGCTCCTTGGACCATAACCAAAAGCGCCATCGAGCCCTCGACAGGGCTGCTTTTATGCGGGATTCAAGCAGCCTTCAAGAACTCGATATTTTACCTCTCCTAGAGCTCAGCGCAAAAGGCGAGGTGCCTGCGATGGAGAGGAAGGAGAGCTTCGTCCCAAAGAAGATGAAGAAGCGCGCGCTAGCTCCGAGCGACGCGCCGTCGTCGTCGCGCGTGCCGAGCGACGCGCCGAGCGACGCGCCCGCGCGCAAGAAGCAGAAACGGCGGCGGCACAAGCACAAGGCCGCCGACGCCCCGGTCGCAAGCGGCGAGCGCTTCACGTGCCGGAGCGGCGCGGTCGACCTCGCCGAGGGCCTGGTCCTCCACCGCGACGCCGTCACGGAGGCCGAGGAGCGCGAGCTCGTCGCCTTCGTCCGGGCGCAGTGCGACGCGGGCCGGCGCGGCGAGCTCCGGAAGCCGACGTACCTCCGCGCGTCCGGCGGGCGGAGGTA